TTCTCTCGGTCTCACGAAGCCATCGTCGATGAGATTCGCAATCGCTAATCTATGCGACGTATGCGAATCACGTTAACCCTTTCGCTACCAACAGGACATATATGGCCCGGGATATGTGTTTTCCCCACTATTAATATTAATAACCTTATTCCACTGAGTAAACAGCTTTTTGGCATTCTTCAGAACATACATCAGTTATCATTTTACTTTTTACTGTTGAGACAAATATACTGAGGGAAAAATTATCTTAAAATCAACAAATATTTCTTTGCTGGGTACCACTAACATATTTACTTAAATTTAAATTCTCTTTTTAAATCGAATATTGCTCACCTGATTTAAGTAAACAATATTTTATTTAAATAAAGGGAATTTAGATTTAAATAAATATGTTAATGGCACCCATCAAAGAAATATTTGTTGATTTTAAGATAATTTTTCCCTCAGTGTATGTCTTCTCAAAAACTCCAGTAGGATATCAGTGTCTCTACTGTGTCTCTTTGGCGCCAAACAAAATATTCTTAATTTTTTGTTGAAACATTATATTAATGTATTTAGTGAAGTGAAAGTAAAAGAAAAAAAATTATATTTTTGAGAACGCGAAATTGGTAGCGAAAGGATTAAAAAGGAAAGTCCATCCTCGAAAAAGAAAGGGCCCGGATCGTTGCCCGACAACGATCAATCGCGTTCGGTCGTGCCGCTCTCATCGACACCAGGCTGCGATTAGTCGACGAGAAAGAACTAACTTAATCGCCACTTTCGCCGCGATCGCAATTAGGATTTCGCGTATGCCATCGCCGTCGAATCGAACTAATGGGCCGTCTTCTCTCTAAGACAATTCACGGAGACGCCGGCGGTTCCTGGATTGTGTCCCGGCTTCTTTTCGTCCCATCTCGCGCATTTCTCCGATGGATGCCGTTTTAGAAAGGCGGGAGAGAAACTTGCGGAGCTCTGCAGCGTGTACCGAGACCTCATCGTCGTGCTGCGAGATCATTGGCGTATCGTGGTATCGAGTTTACACGGTTTCAACGCGCGTCGAATGTTCGGCCGACAATTCGAGGCCCGATTACGGAGAACTCGTTGTTACCGCACTCTTTATCCTCCGAGATAATTCACGCGCTATAATTCGCGTGTATCTCACCGCGACAAGATCTTTTTTTTTCTTTTCTTTTTTTCCCCGCATGCCGAGAGCGCTTTAAAGCGTATCGAATGCTCGGCGTTTGTCGCAACTGAGAGTCCAGGTAAAGGCGAGAGAAAGCCGATTTAGCTGCCAAGTGGCGTTAGAATGTCTATTATGCGTGACAACCTCGATTTTTCCCCATAACGTTTCGGAAACACTTTGGTGTTTGTGTGTGTGTGTGTGTCTCACGCCGATGATTGCTTTTCTTTTTTAACGTGTACACTGAGGATAAATATCTAAGAAATGTAGACACATTTGTTCAGTGGGTACTAACAGCATATATTTATATCAACATGAAATATTTTTCAAGTAAAAAAAATATATTTTTTTTAAATCTTAAGGAAACCTTAGTTTTTTAATGCAAGCAATAGTTTATTTTATTTAAATAAAAGATTTAAGTAGATTTTTATTAGATTTAGATTTAAGCAAATATGTTGTTATTTCAAATAAATATCTTAGATATTTTTCTCTCAATGTAGGATAAAACACTCAATTATTGGCATTTCCCCTTAGTCATTCACAATCCAGAAGAAAATCTGGTTTTTCTTGCGACCGGTATTGTTAAACTTCTTGCTTGCATTTTATGATACTAAAAGAGAACTTTGTAACTCGAATTGCGAACAGCCGTCGCTAGCCGCAAAAAGAACAAGGTTTTTCTAGAGTGTGAACGAATAAGGGGAATCGATAATTATCAATAATTGAACATTTTGTTCGACATCGAGATTAATAAGTTTGTTCATAAAGAGCGGATTACGTCCGACGAGAAGAAGCAGTTGGACAACCATTAAGGGACACACATTAAAAAATTATTTTTGTATTTAAAACTAAAAGATACTTTTTTGGTACATAGAATTTGGTTGGTATTACCGTATTTTTTACTTGAATCAAGTAAGATATATTGTTATGAGAAAGCAAACATTTGAGCGGCTATTAAATTTCTAGTTGCAATCACGAAACATTTGTGATCATCTTTTTAACTAAAAAACAGGTTTCGCCTGATTTTGGAGCCCTCAATAATGACATTTTTTGCATACAACTAAAGCTCACATCGAGTCGATTCCAAATACGTAAATCTCTATATATAATCTGAACCTCTCACCGTTTTTGAGAAAAATAATCCAAACAAACCCCAATTTCAACAGCCTGGTGCCATGTAAACAAAGATAAGTATCAACTGGCGACTAATTCAACGCATGATATGCGCCGCATATTTATTTTTAGTCACCGAACAACACTGATGCAAAACTTATCTATGGAATCTTAACGGATCAGTGATTGGCGATAATTGATTATCAAATAGTGCATAGCAGGTCGGAATCGCTAATATTATTAATATAGAACGGTTCTATATTATTAATATAGAAGAGATTCAGATTAAAGAGTTACCTATTTGGAATCGATTCGACGTGAACTTTAATCGTATGCAAAAGAAATTGTCATTATCGAGGCCCCCAGAATCAGGCGAAATGTTTACAGTGAGAAAAAATACTTGAAAATCTCAAGAGATTGAATTTGCAGGATATAAAGATTATCCGTAGAAATAAATTTTATAAACCGCAAATAAATCAAGTATTTTTTTTCAGTATATGAACACTTGGTTACATTCTTTTGGTCCGATGTACCAGATTTTTTTCGTTCTAACAACAAAATCCTTTCTCCAATATGGTGGGCGACGAATTGCGTGTGAATAAATCTGCGCGCTCGCTCGGAACGCGGATCGCCTCTTTGCCGGCTTGGCCGTTTTCCGCGCTAGAGAAAGCAATCGTCCCTCTCAGCGATTAGCGTCAGCGAAGATGGACATGCGAGGAAGAAAAGAAGCAGGAGAAAAAAGAGAAAAACCGAACTATTTAATTGCTCTTCTCCTTACGTGATTGCAGATAAGAGCGCGAGTCTTCGCGTCGCTGCGTGATATTATGCCCGTTTAATCGTCCATAATCACATAGCATTATCCAAATTGAGAGCGACGGCATCCACGATGATACACGGGGACTGATAAATGATCCGGTTCGCGTTTATTGTCGTTGCCGCCGATAAGCCGGTATTAGAAAGTCGGAAGTGGCCGCGGCATTAAGCTGGACGGCGATCTCATTAGCCGCGCGAACGGTCGTCGCCATCGTCGTTGGCATTCCGAGGCTGACATAATTTGCATTGCGTTTCGCTCTGACGCAAGCGCATTCTTCGCGAAAATTAGTTTCGTCGGTATGCATCGGGAATCCTGTTTGCGACGCGCTCGCGCGCATCGCGATATGATGTACGCGCACATACTTACCTGTACGCACGTGAGAAGAAGTAATTACACGGCGGGGAGCGAGGAAAGCGCGCGTCGCTCACCTACGAAAAGCCGCATGCACCAGCTCGTTCGAATGCTCGTTCAAGGATAATTTGCAGACTTGAGTTTAATGCCCGCGGAATCCTCCTCGCGGCACGTGCGTTATCGCCTGTGTATCTGCGCGCGGCCCTGAAACCTCCTTCGCGCGCTGCAACATCATCCCCGCTGGTGAACTTCAACTCTGTCTCGGGGCTGAAAGTGAGACACGTATCGGGGAAATGAGCGGACTAGAAGTCGAGCGATGTACGCTACGTGAGTCGTTCGGAAACTACGTGGTCTAGTACGAAGATAGCGCGAACTTGGCTAAATCTTTATTGCCGCGTTTCAGAGCTTTTTCTCGCTCCATTCGGTGACTTGCCCTTACAGTGCCTTCACTGAAAAACTCATTTAGTTGAGTTAACCAAAATTCGGTTAAAATAAGGTGGAACAAATATTTTGGTTATGAGGTACTTTGGTACCTCTGAGCGTTATCTAGGAACAGTACCAAATCAATATTTGATACTTTGAACCAAAGATTTGATTTTTTTAAACGAAAATAAAACAAGTTTAGTTTCAGAGAATCAAATCTTTGGTAGAAAGAACGAAATTTTGGCCTTTACAACCGAAACATTCGACTCTATTTTAACCAAATTTTAGTTAACCCAACTAAATGAATTTTTCAGTGTTTAGCCTTCCCCGAGGATACTTGTAGCCACACGGCACATAATACTCTTATCTGTATTCCTGAAAAGTGAATTTCTCTTTTCGTTCCATTCACTTCACATTATAGATATTATTCCAAAAAAGAAATGAAAGGTTAAGTATAAACACGATTTTTCTCCACAGCGGTTAAATTAAAAATAAAAGAAGGTATTCCAGAGTTTTTCTTAAATAGATTAAGGACGACAGTATCGAGTCGATTAGTCTTTGTTTGACAGTGCGCCAAAGTAAACGCCCCGAGTGTTTCTGTGCGTTCATTGTTTTGACTGTTCTTTCATTTCTAGAGTGAAGTGGCAGATACAGGTTTCATCAACAAATCAGTGCTAAAACGTCCTTCAGATCGCGACGCAGTCATGCCAAAAGGTGCGAGAAACAATATAATTGTTCAGTGTCTGCTAATTTGACCAAACGCAGATCCCATCGCTCGCAGAGTTCACTTTGGCATACAAAAATCAATAATAGTAGTAAAGTAATAACGGCAATAAGTTCGCAATATCAAAGTAGAACAATAGTCTATTTAAATTATGCCTCAAAATTCTCGATTGATCCTTCAAGTTGCACGGAGTTTGCAGAATTAATGCAAAAGCAACATTTCGATTTAAGTAAATATAATAGATCGAGTTAGGATCAAGTGTGGGATTTTCTTTTTATTTTTCTTTTTCTTTTTCTTTTTATTTTAAGAACTTGAAAATTTTCGAAATTTGACGAACTCAAACTCTCGATTTTCTCTGTTGTAGAGATAATAGTTCGATTTGTTTGAAGATAAAGAATAATGAAACTAATCTGGTATACTGAAGGAAGAGTTTTGTTGTCGAAACGAAAATTTCGTATACTGGACTCATTTGGTTAAAATATAGTTAAAATAGAATCAATTAAATGTTTGGTAATAGCAACCAAAAAATTTAATTGCCGCTATGTGCGTTTTGCATTTCTCAATAATGCATCCTACTTGACACAAATGGAAAATATGATAATGCTAATCAGATCGTACGTACCGCGAATACATTAGTTCCAAATAAAAAAATAATAATGCTTTGAGTATGTATTACCAAGCAATTTCTTAAATGAAACCATATTGTTTAGTGATGCTTATCACATTATGTGATAAATGTACGATACGACCAGGTACTTCGATAACGTCGGACTATTTGATAATTATTATTAAATTATTTTGTAATATTTTCCACATCATTTAATTGGTCTCACTAAATGAAGAGTCTACTTTACTAATGCTGGTATTTGACATAAGTAAAAGCATAGTAATACCAACCAGAAATCTATGTATGTATCAGATACTTTAGTTTCAAATGTAAAAATAATCTTTTCAGTGCATGAAATCCTCTCTTCTTGGAAACTTGAGGATTATTGCGGTTTGATGAATTCAGGCTCTCGATTCGTATCCGTCACAAAGGCAACAGCGAACGCGAGAAAGAAAGAAAGAAAGAGGAAAGCAGCCGTGTATCACGAATCCCGCGCGCGCGTTAACGGTCTTCGTACGGCACTGTATACGGCAAGCTCTTACCGTATGTAGTACGTAGTTACATAGAGGTAATGGCCGGGCACGGTGCGCGGCACACGCAGACAGGAGCACGTTTCAACGTACACCTGTGCGAAGAATACCGTAAAGAGGCGCGCACGATTAACTCTTCAGTGTGTCGGACCGCGTCCAAGTGCTACGCGCGGCTCTTTGCCGCTCGATGTGTTCCTTACGCATTGTGGAAAATTTGCATGCACTTCAAGCGCGATCCTCGAGTGATATTTTGAGCTCGTGCGTACGCATCCCGCTTCTCCAAAAGCGGGAAGTAACACGCGCTGTTCTATTTCATTTGTTTTTTTTTTCTTGTATTATAACTTTTACACCGGCTGGGAAAGTGAAAGTTGGAAGCGCTCGAAGCTAACCGCGTTCTTCGCGATTCTTCGGGAAATCATTGGGTTGATATATGAGTTCGTGCGGAACTTTTCAACAAAATTCAAATGCATTTTATTCTTGTTAAAAACAATTTTTTTTAACGAAGAAGAAACGCGTTCCAAGCGATTTTCCACATCTTCCAAAGAAGCGAAGCTTATACCGTCAAGAGAGATTCTATAATGAACGAAACAGATGATAATCGGAGGGAGCAACGTCGGGTGAATATGATTGGTGAGGCAAAACATCCCAGCCATACTCTAACAATTTTTACGGAAGTAAAAAAACATAATGCACCGGGAAAACTCATTACTGCCTTTCATTTTCAAGCCGCGACAAAGACAACTGTAATTCTTTAATTTCTGTTTTATCCGGGAGACAAATCAAAGAAATCAAGATATCAATGAAATTAAAAACGGAGTAGAAATCTAGGAAATAATCGAATGACTCGAGGAGAGAAAAGTTCGGTTAAATTAGCCCGATAATAAACGAACCAAACGCATTCTGGTCGAAGGAAACAGAATTTTCGATTCAGAATTGAGTTTCGTTCATAAGAGTCAGAAATTCGGTTTCCTTCAAAACCTTCCCGCACTGAAAATAATTATTTTTGTATTTAAAACTAAAATATTTTGTACACTCTCTATTCGCTTGACATATTATCATGTTTCTTGCTTGTGTCAAGTAGAATGATTAGTGAGAAAGCAACAGACAAACGGCAATTAGATTTTTTCGTTGCAATCACCAAACATTTGGTCGATCCCACTTTAACCAAAATTCGGTTCGGTGTGCCAGATTTTCATTTCGACAACAAAGTCCTTTTTCCAGTGCGAATAATTTTGCGATACTTGACCAGAGCATTTTCCTGTTCCTGAGGTTGAGAAGTGCTTGTTTCCGCACCTGCAACCGGCCGAGAGCGCGCGAAAAGGCGCCGAGCGATGCACACGAAAGCTTGCGTGTATGCACCAGTGCCTCTCGAGGCGAGGAGATATGCTCTATCTAGAAGGGTACAGCATCGCCTCGTTGCGCGAAGAAAACTTATTGACTAGATGCCGCGGTAAAAAAAAAAACAAGAAAGAAGAAGAACGGACGTCGAATATAACGACCGAAACCGAAAAAAACGCGAGTCCTCTCGAGCCGTTCATCTCGATTGCTCTCGCGATTGTCATCGTGTACAGATGAAGCGAGCTGTTGCAGAATTTCTTCGAGCAAATTTCTCGCGCTCTCGTTTCTCGTTATTCCGACTATCGAAAACGTTCTCCTGCCTGCGATATTGAGATATTAGGTTGGTGCGAAAGATTTTTGTCGTGTTTGTCAATAAAATTTAATACGAAATAATCCTATCTCGAAGGATTAACAATATTTTTTGGAGACAAAGTCGGCAACATCGACTCAGTACTTCTCATATATTTCACTGGGAGAATATTATAGTTGTTTCTTTCACGTAAACTCTTTTCAATTTCACCATGTTTCCATCAGTACAAGAATAGACTGTTAGTAAGATCTGTTTTGCCAAAAAACATTTTAAATTTCTTTAGGAATATACAAAATTTTCTAATATATAGTACATTTTAGTTCCTAAAACATGTAAAATATAAGTAATATGAATACTTTCTGATAAGTAATATACGTATGAAATAAAAATATAATTTGCGTTACTGCGATAACCTGGACTTATAAGATACTTTTGAATATATCATTTAGATAAATATATTTAAATCGAATTAAGTTAATTTAGGTTAATTAATATTACTCAACTATTAAAGAATACTGAGGTTTTCTCTTCTCTTTTGCTACTAGTACTTATTCTCATCTTCTTTTTATTATTCTTTTTATTATATATTTTCTCTTTGTTTTATCTTTTTATTTATAGTGATCATGTCCCATAAATAGATAAATAATCAGTTACTGCAGACAATCAATATATTCTACAAAATTATGTAATAATTATCGCTATAAGATTATCTCCATCTCCATCGTCTGACGATGATTTCTCATCATTTTCCTTTTAATATCCAGACTTCTTACAAGAATTTAATAGAAGAATGACAAATTTCTCTCGCACCAATCTAACATATCTCGTGTCTGTCCCGAAAATAAAGACGAAGCAATACGTCACGGGTGCAGGCTGAAAGTACAGAGCGAATAGCCTCGCGAGAAAAATGAAGATCACACACGCGACGCGCAGGATGTGCACTTTTTTGCACAACACTGCGCGTGTTGCGTTTACTTTGAAAAAAAAAAAAAGAAAAATCTGTAACGAGCTCCCGCTCGTGCGCTTCTCTTCCTCTTCGCCGCAGTTTTTACATTTATACACGGCTCGTCGCGCGCGTTTCGTTGTTGCGCTCCTCCGGCAGTTGCACCGCGTTAACATTGCACCGACGGAATTCGTAATAAAAGAGCAGTTTTCGACTGCTCCGATCTCTCTCGGCTAAGCCCGAACCGCACTCGGCAAATTACAGTTTGCGCGAACTGCAAGAATAACTGCATTTTAATACCGCGCTTCGGGGTTAAGGAACCATGAGAAGGAGGAGGAGAACGAGGAGGATGCGTTATTAGCTGATTGCGGGAAATTAACGTTTCTGCACATTCCGGCGGCGGAATGCGTGTGATTTTACATATTTACGTTTCCTCGCGCAGATCCCCATTCGAACACTCGTTCGGAGTGCTCGATACTTCGCGCGCGAACGCTTCTGCCTCGAATTGATTTCCGGCGCGAATGACTTCGCATGCATACTCCTCTCCCCGACTCTGTTTTCTTTTCTTGAATTATCAGTTAAGGGGACTGAAGGGTCAGATTGCCTGAAAATCGTGCTTGTTCTTTCACTTTATGATAAACTAAATGAATATGCGAAAATGTTATTTTGACGTGTATTTATATCACGTATGAAGAGAAGGAAAATATAACTTTGATGATCAAATACTCAATATAAGTATATGGTATATGTAGTTAAAATATATTTCGTTTTTCTTTTCAAGGTCGTCATCATTTTGCAGTAATATCTTGACTCTCGATGGTTCAATTAAATTTTAGGTAGAACATTTCCGTAAGTTTGTCGTTATCGTGTGAACTGACAAACTCATGAAAATATTTAGTTTTAAAATATAAATTTTTTTACTATAAAAAACTGAAAATTTAATAATATTCCATTAAGATATTTGCAATTTTGTTAACTTTTACTCAATTTATATTACAGTGGTTCACACGATAACGACAAGCTTACGGAAATTTTCTACCTAAAATTCAGTTTAATTGAATTCCGAAAGTCAAGATATTACTGTAAAATGACGACCTTGAAAAGAAAAACGAAATATATTTTAACTGCATATATCATACACTTATATTAAATATTTGATCATCAAAATTATATTTTTCTTCTCTTTATATGTTGCATAAATACACGTCAAAATAACATTTTCGCATATTCATTCAGTTTGTCATAAAAAATTGCGAAAAAACAAGCACGATTTTCAGGCAATCTGATCCTCCAGTCCCCTTAAGGCCATTGCTTCACGACAATATTCTGCTAAAAAGTTATATTAAGTAATAGTTAGAAGCTCTACAAATTTTTGTGTGTACTAAGTGTTTATAAATATGATTTATTATATACAACTTTAATATTACAGCAAAAGAATATCAGTCGAACTTTAATAATGTGTAAGAACCTATAAAGAGATCGTTCTTCGCACGTTATTTAACGTTTGTTTGGATATTTGGAAGCCTATATCGACCTCTTTTGATTCTATTCAATCTACTAGTTTTGCCGTGGGGTTCTCTTTAGATCTTACAAGTGGCATCTTAGGCGTTTTCTGCCATTTAGAGGCGCTAGGAAGATTGCAGTTTCATTACATATACACTGATCCTTCAGAATACACAGATTCTAGGAAGTTCATGTCCAAAGTAGTGCTAGAATTTTGATTTGGGGAAGACGTTGGTGCCGGAGATGCGAGAAAATACGTCGGTCGCGCGATAAGTCATTTCGACGAGACAAATCTGTAATGAAGCGTGACAAGGAGCAAGAAGTAATTCCGCGGCTGTGACGAGCGTTGAGCAACGAAGTAGCAAGGAAGCGGGGAAGTGTTGTTGAGAAACGCGGTGTGTAGCAAGAAGAAGAAGGGAAGTCGCGATTCCGGAGGCTGAGATCACGGTGGGAATTCTTTTCGCGGTGTGCAATTCATCAAAGGCGTTAAAGTGGTCGACGCCTTCGAATTTTCTTCTTCTATCCTATGTCGTATTCGAGAAAATTAAATTTCGCAGGGCTCTGAAGCGCTGAGAACATCATCGCGATATCACAGCGCACAATCCTTTTTTTTATTTAATAATAATATTCTCTCTTTCTTTCTCTTTCTGTTTCTTTCTTTCTCTCTTTCTTTCTCTAAATCTAGTATTGTGCGTCTGTGTACTCCGTAAACTTTAATAAGGAAAACCGAGCGACGTTAGATCAAAATTTATTTATTTGTTTAATCAATTATATGGGAGGATAAATTTATCCCATTGTGTGTACAAAAAGAAAGAAAAAGCACAGTCACATATATTAGTATATTAACAAAAACAGGAAGTAAAAAAAAGCAAATTAGATATTAGAAAGAATATTAAGAGGAGTTTCTAGTTTAGACAGTCGAAAACAGAAAATTTTTACGAATTTCTTTCAAGGATATGAATAAAGATATCAGTATAGAGTTTTGACCATACTATTTATCATTGTTTTAAATATAAAAAAAATTATTAAAAAATTTAAATTCCGCCCAAGTTTTTCGTATTGTCACCAAATGCCTATAACTGACGGACAACATTACGGTTCATGTAATGATTTGGAATACATGTGGAACAAGAAAACTTAAAAACTATATTAAATTTACCGGAGAATAAACCTCAATGGTTCATCTTTTGTTGCTTGATTCTTTGATTCATTCTGCAGCAAATTTAATTCAAGTTTTAAATTTTCTTGTCTCATACATTTCAGATTATTATTCAAACTTAAGTTAGACGCGTCCAACTATACCGTACTTAGCACAAAAAACGATGAACGGACGATGAAAATTTCGATCTTCTTTGAAATAAAAGACTAATTTTTCTCACTTAAAACACAATGATAAATAACAATGGTGAAAGCTCTATTGAGATATCTTTATTTATTTCTTTCAGAACAAACAAGAATAGGAACCTCCCATTATTTCAGCCATCCAAACCAGTCTCGCCTTAATGAGTTTGCTTCATGGCATGCTTCGCAATTATG